ATATGTATAATTTGGAAATGTAAACATGGGGAAGAAGGACTGAGTGTAGCAACAGAACATATCCCTGCTCTTCTTACTGATATCTGGGCAATCTGTGACTGGAGCAGGCATTGGAGGTTCTCCGAGGCATTGTCCTGTTTGACGGTCACAAGGTGCTCCTCCACAGTTGCATGCTGGGAAAAGACAGGTCAATTTATTACTGTGCAGTTGTTTAAATGGTAAGCATGCAAGTAAATAATTATTTCATACTGGGATATTGTGAGCTCTCAGAGGTAGTCTAGATAAGAAGTACTAGCTCCTTCTTTTTTGGTGTGTGTGTGTGTGTGTGTCTGTACGTTAATAGAGTTTTGAAAGATTGAAAGTAATTCTCCCTTCCTTTCCTTTTACTCCCTGTAAAACTAGGGAGGGTCCCTTCTGAATACTTCTCATGTTATCACATCTTGTGTGAGTTGAGACATCTTTTATATGCCGTTTATGCAGCTGATGGTTCTACAGTACACACTTGAATCTTCATTTCCTAATTCCTCTTTAGATATTTCCTCAAACTCGCTTCATTTTATTTTCCTTTCCCTGATTTTTTTTCCTCGATCATTTTTCTACAGTATCAATTGTTGTCCAAAGATCCTGCCCTTCTTCGTTGTTTTGGTCAATAGAGGTCAGTAGCCCAGGAATCAGGCATGTAGGTAGAAACGTGAAATACTGAAAAACTCTTGACTTTACATTTTAAAGAATTGTTTTTTCTTCCTCATATGAAAAATATTGATCCATCTAAAATACTGAACTTTGGCTATGGCCTGGGAATATCTTGCCCTCTTTCCTCTAAAAAAGGCCAGAGATGAGCTTATAAGAAATATGATGTTTTTATACCCTGACCACTTGCATTATGTAGGAACATTCTGGAGCTTTCTCATTCAGCAGTAGCAGCATACCTACCCTACGTTCAAACACAATCACTAATTAAAGATGTCAAGTCTCTTTATGCTGTTAATTTCATACAATTTTGTAGGGGGGGGGGGCTTAAAATGGTGAATAAAAACAGAAGTTACATAATAAATAAAAAAATGTAATATAATACTTATGATTCTGGAATGTTCATTCATATTTTTGCATTAGCAAGAGACCAGACAGGCGGAAAGCCATTCTATATCCTAAGCCTGAATTCGATTAATAATTTGGCATTAGAAGCAAAGCTACATCTAGGATTTTATATTATGAGGCCAGGATATGCTTTCCCTTTGCTCAAATGATATAATCCAAAGGCAATAGGCTTAGAAAAATAGGTGACTGATAGTTGATCATCATAATAAAAATGTTTGGGCAAGCATTAATCGCAATGTAGTATTGTTTAAATCTTATTTTAGCATACAAATTCACTATATTATGTTACTGATACTATCCCTTAGAATTTTGGGAGGAGGAAGGAGGCATTGTAGTCCATGTTAACTCCTGGTCAACTGTCTGGATTAGATCCTGCAGTTTTCTTGACAAGATATTTTTGGAAGTGGTTTGTCACTGTCTCCTTCTTAGGGCTGGGAAATGGGGAGGTCACTCAATTGGCTTTGTGCCTCATGTGTGACTAAAACTCAGGGTCTCCCAGTTTCTAGCCTGGTGCCTTAAACACTACATCAAACTGACTCTTCATTCCTTTGTATAGCTTAATAAAGTTTTAGATATCGGGATGATTCTATTTAATAGTCTTTATTTGCTTGTTCATTGTATGTACATCTTTTTTACATATCTATATAGAACATGACTATATGGTTGTGCAGAAATCTCAGTGAATTTAAGGCTGCATTCACATATTACCTTACAAATTCTGTTATTTTAAGACCAAAGGCATTGTGACATTTGATAGTTGTTTTTCTATAAAACAAGCAATAGACATATAGGTTTGCGGAAAATGTATGCAATAAATCAGAAAATAATTCCAGAAACAATTATTGCAATTGAACAATATTTTTTTTAAAATCATGGCCTAAATAGTTTATATGTGAAACATATAAGTTTGCAGCATAACAGCTCTGAGGAAATTTCTGAGATACAAAAAATAACACTCTTGCAATTTTTAATGTCTTTGCTCTTACATTTACGAAATAATGCTAGTTTGGTAATGGGCTCATCTGCATAATCATGTTAATAGAATACCTGTAATTTCCCATTAGATGCTTTCTAATTTACAATTTCTAAGCCCTAACCCTATAACACTGATAAAAATTTATGCATTATTTTTCATACCTACCTTTTAATCTCTGAATTCTAAAAATAAAACTGGCTATATTTCTCTATAATGTTGAAGTGTTCAAAATACTGCGGATGAAAAATAAGCCCACCTAACACCTATAGAGAAAGTGGACAAAATTCCCAAATGTATGTATGTATTATCTCAATCAACAGACTGTTAGCATGAATATAATATAAAGGTCCTTTTGAAATCTTATACAGCTTGAAAGGCTAAATTATTTATTACTTCCAAGATTAAAAAAAACCAGAATAGTGTGCAATTATTAAATGTTGGGCTTCTAAAGGATTCATTTTTGGAATACATTAATTTTTTTTGGCACTTATGTCTTATTATGCTTCTAAAATTAGCTTAGTCCCTAGGCTGGGCTGGTTTTTACTGTCATATAAATGTGTACATTGCATGATTAATCCACTACTGCAAAGCAGATAGATATCCTTTATGGATAATAATGTCAGTATATTAATCTGCCTTACTGTAAATGCACAACGAAGCCAGATTCCATCTGAAATAATTTTCAGAGCAATAGCAAATATATCTCCAGTTATAAGCTATATGATATTTAAATGAAAGTCCTGAGCTTAGTGGCAATGTTCCTCCAACACTGGAGCTTTTAAGAAGAGATTGGACAACCATTTGTCTGAAATGGTATAGACTTTCCTGCTTGAGCAAGAGGTTGGACTAGAAGATCTCCAAAGTCCCTTTCAGTTGTTAGTCTGTTTCTGGTTTTTTATGTTTATATTCCCAACTTTATTTTATGTATCCGTAAAATCTGTTCTTGTTTGCTATAAACTCACCAAAAGTAAAATGTTTCCGAGGGAGATGGGTGGTTTAGAAATATGAAATATAAATAAATAGTCTACAGAGGATCAATTTTTCATGAAAATCCATGGAACAAATCAAATATTTTACAAAATGTAGTACCTGTGCATTTTCTGGCTATTCTAGCATCCCCGTAATAACCAGGAGCACAGAGTTCACAATTGAATCCTGTGGTACTACGCATGCAATTGCGACACTGGCCTGTCACTTCATCACAATCCTCAACGATCAAGTTAGGATCCGAATTGCCGCTGCAATCACATTTTTTGCAAGTACTGCCAATCACCAAAGGGTTTCCATAATAACCGGGAGCACACCTGGAGTGAAAATACAAACCCAGCAATTATTAATATGCATCAGTGGTGAAATTCAGATTTTCTTACTACCAGTTCTGTGGGCGTGGCTTGGTGGGCATGGTTTGGTGGGCCTGTCAGGGGAAGGATACTGCAAAATCTCCATTCCCACCCCACTCTGGGGCCAACCAGAGGTGGGATTTCCTGGTTCTCCGAACTACTCAAAATTTCCGCTACCAGTTCTCCAGAACCTGTTAGAATCTGCTGGATTTCACCTCTGATATGCATGTCTTTCTTTTGGACTGGTGGCATTCCGGGAACGGGGGTATAAATCAACAAGGTAGAAACTTGGAGCACTTCTGGCACCCAGAAATCTGATCTATTGCTCTGCTCTCCAGAGTTCCAAGGTTGAAATGTGTATTGCTGCCCTACATTTATCTTTCATGAAATGTTACCTTTCCAGCTGCTAATATCTTTGAAACAGCAGATTGGTGAGAAAAATAAATTATTAAAAAATCATGCCAAAAGGTCATGCTGTAATATAATTTTCACATTTCATCCACTTGATATATTCTTCAAATTTTTGACACAGGTGTTGAAGAGATTTGAAAAGAGTGTTAAAAAAACATTGTTTCCTGGGGCCATTGGATGCTGCTTGCCCTTTCAATGGAAATCAGCTGAAATGCAGTTCATTCTTAATGCTCACACCGCATGTATGTAAGAGCACCTCTTTTTAATGAGAGAACTGAATTCATTGAGGATTATTCCAATAACTTGTTTTGATCGTGGACAAATTTTTGCATTCAGTCACTTTGTGAGAACTACCCAAACCAAAGAGAGCCTGCTCATATGATCATCAGGGATGCCAAAGTGGAGCCGCAAGTGATCCATTTCTTTTTCTTTTTCTAGCAATTGTTGCCCTGGAAATGCCTGAAACTGCTTTGATTTCTAATAGATTTAATACACTTCAACTCTTCCACTATAAAGTGAAAATGGCCCAAATCCCACCATTCTAACAGTCTCATGCTATCAGCAGCCTGCTCCCTATGGCCTTAACTTAAAAAAAAATAATGATAATGCAAGTGCAGCTCCCAGATGCAAAAATCTAACTGTTCTATGCAAGCTTTTTCGTTTTTATATGATGTTTCTACCATTCATTTGAATTTCCATTCCCATTCATTTGATTCATATAACCTACCTATCCTATGCTTCTCTTCCTTTCCTCTCTTCAATACAGATGGATCTATAATGGGGACGCTTCAGGCACACAAAGCATGATGGGTACTTTGTACACTTGTAAATTGCATACGAATGTGAGTTCATTCTTACATAATTCTTAACGTTCATGTATATGTAAGAGCACCTCTTTAATGAGGGAACTGAATTCATTGAGGATCATTTCAGTAACTTTGGTTGGAGCTAGGAATGGAGAAGTAAAGCAACTGCATTGATAACCTGAAACAAATTAGTTAACCTTATTCCTCAAGCAGTTCTATAGAGCAGGAATTTGCTGAGATGTCAAGGTTGTGCCCTCCCTCAATTAACTTTAAGTTAGTCTTTGGTAAATTAACAACATGTGAGGTCCACCATTTTTCTCTCTTTTATTATTGTAGTATATGAACACTTACTGATTTTTCCTGCTTCATTTAAGTGTGAGGATGAGAAGAAATTTTGCCTATTAAATCATTTATATATATACTGTAATAATCAAAATTGAGATGTATAATTCTTAAAACATGTCCATACCTTTCGCAGTTTGACCCTGCATAATGCTCTTTGCATTTACAGCGCACCACTCCATTTTTTCTGTAACAGGAGACTCCAAAGCTAAAAGTATATTAAAAATTCATTATTAGAGATGATTATTCACACACTCATGAATGTAACCTATACAATACAGAACCTCAGTAGGCTTATGTTGAAAACCTTTGTACATTTACCACTAAATGTGGCAATACCTCATCCTGATCCACGGTTTATTTATTTATTTTTATTTATTTATTTATTTATTTGTTTATTTATAGGTTTAGCTACTCCTAGGAGATAAAATAGAGGTCACAAGAAGGTAAGATAAACAATAACCTCACTAGTCAGTTTTGAATGACTTCAAAGTGGGAATCCTAGTTTTCCAATAATATAATTAATAAATGAAGTAACTGTTATTTATGCTTGTTGTCAATAGGAGAGGAACAAAGAGAAATCATATTTATTTCCAACTGGTTTTAGTAAGAACACATATGTTCAAGCTCTGTTATTTCCTTCATTTCAGTCCTTGGTTGCTTTGAAGGAGAATTATTGCTACCAAAAATGCCAAGTGGTTTATAACTTACTGTATATACATGAACTTCTGAGAACCCTTACAACATAATTCATTCAGATTCTATTGAAGTTAATTAGATTCAAACCATAGGCAATTGCCTGCTGTGCAGCCTTTGTAAGACTATTAAAGAAAGAAAGCAAAATTAACTCAGCCTACAATCTGAAAATTTTCTCATAACAGAAATCTATTTGAGACAAGTTCTTTTATTAGAGCAAAGATAAAAGGATGCAAGCTTCCAGGCTGTAAGAACTCTTCATGGGCAAATTAATAAAAATGTTGAAAAGGGATGGGGGAGGGAGCAAATATGGCTGGGAAATAACATTTTTTTCTATTCCTTTTTCCCCCAGGAAAGAAAGGAAAAGAGAGCAGAGATTAATTTTTGCAGCTGTATCAGTCCTTGCCACAGCTGCTGTCTTGGAATGCGCAAATATTGGATCTCTGGAATTATGAAAGTGTTAGAGAAATCCAGAGAAAAACCAGATGAAAAACAACATCTGATTTGTCAATAATACACAAGAATAAATTAACTCTGTTAGCATTCTTTGACTTTAGGTAGGGAACTAATGCATCATATCAATTATATCTGAATACTATATAAGCTGGCTTTTCCCAATATTGAAAATTTGAAAATATTGAAAATTATTTTCAATAATTTCAGAGTTCCAAAATATATTTGGAATTTCAAAATTCTTTGCCATTATAATGAATATTGGGAAACTAGTTGGGAAATTTTATGATAAGCATTATTACAATACTACCTTATTTTTTATTGTCCTGTTTGGATATTCTTTGCACACTACCTCAATAATATAATAATGTACTTTAATATACGTTATTTTACATATTTTATTTCTTAGTGCATCTCCTCCTGCAAATATTCAGCTTTTGAAAACTGGCCTATTTTAATTTACAAACTCAGACACAGAAGAACTATTCAGTAACTATGCTGTTTAGTAACCAAAAGATACAGATGGTGTCATTCATTAGGGAATCACATGCTTTTCCCGTTCAATAATATTTGGCAATTCTATCTCCTCCTGGGAAATTTTGGTGGGATTCCAAAACCCAAATCACAAGGCAGTCTCTTACATCTATTTCCTGTGGCATAAACTTCATGGGTCAAAGTCTGTTTTGTCAGACCCACTGAGTAGATAATGCTGGTTACAGAAATACCCTGGTTTCCCAAAAATAAGACCTCCCCAGATAATAAGCTCAATCAGACTTTTGACTGCATGCGCTAAAATAAGCCCTCCCCAAAAATATTGCAACACAGCAGCAGCCCTGAAGTGACCACACTTGCCACCTCCTGCACCACAAAAATAATAAGATCTCCCCAAAAATAAGGCCAAGCGGTTATTTTGGAGGTCAAAAAAAAATAAGATCCTGTCTTATTTTTGCGGAAACATGATAATATAAATATATTTTTCTCCAAGAGCAAGGATTTATTAATCTAGCTTCTTCCCAGGTTACCTAGCTGGGAAGAAGCTAGCTAGAACCTAGCTAGAACATGGATGCTATAACAGGTGGCTGGTAAGTCTCAAATCCTGATCCTTTCACATCAGGTGGCCAGAAATGAGTTGTTCTAACACCAGCAGGATTGGCTGTATGGAGTTCATAGCTTCCACAGAATTCTGATGGGATTGTTCGGTGTAGCTAATCAAATGCAAATAAAAACTGCTGTATTCTGGCTTCTATTTCATCTGCATGTCTAAGCTACTATTCTCTAGCGCTACCATGAGTACATTTATTTCCCTTGTTTGGAGATGTTTATAAGGTCAAAGAGACTTGTTTGAGATTGTCATGAAAAATAGCACTTGCACACTGCCTTCTGTTAACATTTTAGTGACATTATTTCAACTTCATTTCATCCCTGGAGTATTTTTCTCCTCTACCAATTTTACACACTTAATTCCTTATATATTGAAAAGAACTCCAGTTCTGGACATAATAATAAGCTAGAACTATTTCTGTATATTTTGTAAGAGAGTTTGAAAAAAAATTATAGGGAATTAAAAAAAATCACATATATTGACATTTTAAATAATTGGTGTTCAGTTGTCCAAAGACTGTTCTGCAAATTCCCAAGCTATCCAATATAAATGGAGATAATCTTCCAGACCCCCATGCCTGCTCAGAAAATCCATCACAATCCCTACAGATGAGTTCCAAGAACAACTGTGTAAATAATGAAGATGCCAGTTTAAAGAACTTGATACACTTTTGGTCAGACTATAAATGCTTGTTCTGTGTTAGCCATATATCTAGTTTCTTCGTTGCAAAACAGAAGAGCAAACCTTTGTTTCCCATAACATTTAAGGAATTCTATTTCTGTAACAATACATTTTTAATGTAAAAGAAAAAGTGAATAAAGTGAAAATAATAAATAAAGACAATAATACATTGAGAAAGTATATCCAAAATTCTAACTACTCTAGGGGCAGGCAACAAAGAATGTTTCCTTTCCTTTTTTAAACTATTAATCAGATAATGTGTCTTTTATTTGAAAGGGACACACAGCACAGCAGCTTTGAATATGGCTCTTGATAGGATTGATCAGATGTAAACCAGATTTTAAATCAGTTGCACTTTATTGGCAAAATTTTCAATGACAATGATGGAAAGATCAGTTAGGAAACATTCATTGCCTTGATGGAGATGTGAAATGGATTGCAAATAAATGGAAATCCTAAAGATGATGGTGGAATATTTTGCAAAATTCTGACCAATTCAAAAGTTTATTTTTTAAGAATAAATAAAATGACCTCTGATACATATCGATAGTGGAATAAATTCTGGTTTAGATATCTGGTGGGGTGGAAGAGTGCACGTTGAACAGTAAAACATTTTCTATATAGAAGGCACCAGGAACCTGTTTGCAGAAAATGGAAAGACTCCTGTCAGAAATCAGAATAAATAACAGTGCTGAATGGAGAAATGTCCATTTTGGGTTAAAAACCTCAGCAGGTGACAACATTTAGCTAATTTTGCATGATTTCATGAAGCTAAGCAGATCCAGCCATGTTAGGATGAGAAGCTACTGGGGTATACCAGAACTGTAGACTAGGAAGTTGAAAAAGACTTCTGAGGATCCGGTGACAGGACAAACTGCCAGACACAGAACTCCTCTCCAGAGCAGGCCTGCCATCAGCCTACACCCTACTGATGAAAGCCCAGACACACTGGGCAGGCCATTTTGTAAGGATGCCAGACCATCACATCCCTAAACAGCTCCTCTATGGCGAGCTGTCTCAAGGAAAGTGATTGCACGGAGGACAAAGGAAATGATATAAAGACACGTTGAAAGCCTCCTTCAAGTCCCTAGAAATTGACACCACCTCCTGGGAAACCCTGGCACAAGATCAATTGACATGGCACACACTGTTCCACCAAGGCTGCCAGACATCTGAGGACAGAAGAACAACCATGACCACAAGAGAAGCGATCACTCCGCAAAGCCAGAGCTGCAAATGCTGCAACAATGGTGCCCACACATGTCTGCCCGACATGTGGTAGAACATTTCATGCCCATATAGGCCTTACCAGCCACCTGTGGACACATTATGGACAGCCCACAACCTGTTAAATGTCAAGGTCCTCTTTGAACATGATGGACGAACATCATCATCAGGCAAACCTATTCATTTGACATCATTTATCCTTTCCTACTACGTCAGTATACTAACCATATGTCTCTGAGATACGGTCAAAAAATATGGTTTACTGGGCTACAGCTTCATGACTAAATCTTCTCCAATCTTGTTGCTCTTCAAGGTCAATTCAGTTTGCTGTGAATGTTTTTCTACAGGGGTATTTTCAACAGTTCATGTATATTGGAGGAGGAGAGGCATCTTATAGGTTTGGTAGTGAATACAGATTACATGTGCATGGGGAGATACTGTACCTTTTATCATCTCAGGTGACCTTCCATGAATATGTAGGGCACACTCTTAAGAAAGACTATTTTTCACCTAAAGGCATTCTCATAAACCTAGCTGAGTAAATGTAATTGTTTCCCATAGACTTCTATATCCATTTTTCCTGTTGTACAAATATTTTCTTTGCTGCGTTCATCTTTTATCCTTGTTATAAAATCTTTGAATCTAAGAGACAAACCAATTGGCCTTATCTCCACCCATTGCAACAGATCCCAAATGTTACTAACCCATTATCCACATTAGGCATAGAGCACTGTAAACTGTGAAACTTTAAAAAAAATCATATAGTTAATTGCACCACAACATATCTACCGAAGGGAAAGAAGTAGGAAATGATTTATTTTACTTCATCTTTTACAGTTTCAACAACTGTCTTCCACAATGTATTTTTGCAATATAAGCAATATATATGAATTCATGGAAGAAAAAAAGTAATAAATGCCTTGGAAGCAAGACTAATAGACCATCCGTGCAGTCTGTCAGTTTAAAGGTTACGAAAATTGTATGAAATTGGGCTGCTACTGAAATGGAAATTATAAGGATAAGAAGTGACAATTTATTAGGATCTTAGAACTATTCAGAGTTTGTGCCAGATAAATGACCATGAATTCCATGTTATCTATATATTAGTAAAAGTCTTGTATCTGTAACCTTTCACTGGGTGAAATGGTGCATCATAGAGTAACACTTTTTGAACTGAGATATTTTAAATGGTTTAACTTATAGAATGTACCCCATTTCAGGATCCATAACTCTCATGGAATTGGAATTAGGGAAATGTTATAAAACCTTTTATGACAAAAATGATCATAAAGCATTTTATCACATAATACAAAATGTCATAAAACATTCCCTGTGATCAATTCCTGATGTTTGATTGTGTTATACAGTTCAACCTGGGCTACTTTGAAGGCAGATCCATCTCTGAATACATCCCTGAGTTTTTAAGAACTTGTCAAGTTCGTTAGAAACTATGATATTCTTGAAGGCATTGAGGAATCCAGTAACAAAATCTCTCACGGATTATTAAGTTGAATATAAGTGTAGGGTTTCCATTCATTCCTCATAATGCTGGGCTCTCATGGATTTCATTCAGAATACTGAATACTCTGGCTCAATATATCGTATATTTTACATTTGTAAACTTTCTTAACATTTCTATTACTCTGGATTGCTGTCATGTTCTGTAATATATCTGAAAAGCTTTGTCTGAAGATTTGAGGCATATTTTCCCAAAAACATCTGTACCCAGATTTGCTCCCAACCAGAAGATTAAACTAGTTCCTTGAAAGAATGAAATGCTTCTTTTTCAAGGCACATTTGTATTATAAATTCTTTCCCTCCAGTTTGGTGCAGTGGTTAAGGCATCAGGCTAGAAACCAGGAGACTGAGTTCTAATACAGCCTTAGACACAAAACCAACTGGTGACTTTGGGCCAATCACTTTCCCTCAGCCCTAAGAAACAAGCAATGGCAAACCACTTTAGGAGTCAAAACTGACCCAAAGGGGCTCAGGTATGCACACACAAGGTAGATCATAGAATAAAAGAAAAACAGATTAAGTATAATGTCTGCAATATCAGACAACACATAGTAACATATTTTTTTTAGCTATATTAAAGAGCAATGAAGTTTGGCCATGGGCATTTTTTTCAGCAGCAGGGGGGATGGCTATAATAACTAACATCATCTGAAAATAAATATTAGTTTGCCTACTTGGCCACCAAAGGCAAGGGACAAGGGCAAGGTTGGCAGAAACTGGGTGCTCCTCTGGTCACATCACCGAGGTAGCCTTCTGGACATCGTTCACAGTAGTCTCCAGTTGTGTTTCTTTGGCAGTCCTGTAATATGAGAGAGAGAGAGAGAGAGAGAGAGAGGGAG